ATAGTTTTTGTACTTTGAACCTATAAAATTGTGATGGTGGAATCACCTTAATTATAGAAATCTGAAATTGCATACACACCATGACATTTAATCACAATTACCTGACACAGGTGTAATAACCCTGATTTCTATTTACACTAACCTTGGGGTTGGCTCTCAGGAAACTGATCTCTTCCTCTGACTTCTTGTTCACTTTACATCTATAGATGCTGAAGCACTGGAACTGTCAACAAATAAAAACAAACATTCTTATGTACTGATATGATACATGTAACAGTTTAGTAGAAACTCGCTGGAACTGTCAACAAATCAAAACAAACATTCTTATGTACTGATATGATACATGTAACAGTTTAGTAGAAACTCGCTGGAACTGTCAACAAATCAAAACAAACACTCTAAAGTACTGAAGTGATAACAATTTAGTTGAAACTCAATGGAACTGTAAATAAAACAGAGGACTACACCCATATAAACTATACTGTTTGAATTATTTACACTTTTTAAAAAAAAACATTCCATTAGAATTAGACTTACCTGATAGATAAACTCATCAATGATGTCCCACAGCCACTGATTGGGCAGCTCTAAATGTACAGGGCCATCAGCATCTACAAAGCAGAATATATATATATATCCTGTATTGATGGAATATATTTGACATCCATTATCTACCACAATTCAGACTGGAAGAATTAAGAGCTACAATTGTCACAGAAACAAGAATATTCATAAAACACATGCCATTTAATATTTGTTTGTAAGTGTCATGCCTGTCACAGACAGAATGACAGACAGGGAATAGACAAAGTGACCCCCCACCCCAGTCCTATGACCATCCTTACAGTGCAGGCAATGCAATAAAACTTACTGAGGATGTAGTTGAAGAGATTACAGTAATTGTAATAAGATTCAAATCTCTGCTCCAGGGTTGGTCCATTCTGTAGAAATCAAGTATGAAAAAAAATTATTCAAGTACCATTAAAATGTGTATCCAAATTGAATTCCATAAAAAAGTCACTAGGACAAAATGAAATATGAATGTTTCATAAAATCAAATCCTACCTGAACCCGAGCATAAATGTGCCTGTAGAAAAGCTCCTTGTACAAGATCAGAAACAAATGGTCTGGAATCAGGGAGTTAAAAATATTTAGAAAATATGCATATGTTGTATTCAAAATTAAATTATTAAACTGTGTACTATGATAGCAAGCATTACAAACTTTGTTTCATCCATTAATAATGTCACCTACCATTCTGAACGATTGGGGCAACTACTTCTGCCTCTGGCCAAGGAGAAGTCTTGAAAAATCTCTCTGTCAACTTGTTGAACCTTAATAAACAAAAATAGAATACATGAACGCTTTTGTAATCTTTTATGACTACTTAGTTTCCGACACAAATTTTTCTAGAAATATATTTTATTTCAATATATTTTATTTTACCGAAAAACAAGCACTTAAAACATGTGAAATAAATATGTACTGCTCTAACTCTTACCCATTTTCATAAGCATTTTGAATTTCATAAACATTCTGTTCGGTGATGCTCTTTTGGAAGTAAGTAAGAAAGCTTTTGATGATATCTGGTACAATGTACGTAGACTGCTGGTACTGGCGCTCGTACTCAATGTCCTGACGGGGATCACCTGACAAGTAATTAGTGAATTCAAAAGTGACAAATTACTTTTATTTAAAGAAATGAAAGGATAAAACATTTTGGCTAGGACATGGGATTCATTCATGTCCCTCCTATCTGCCTTAAAGAACAGGTGTAAAAGTAATTGTATCTCTTCAATTTAAGGCTTTAAATATAACTGGGGTCATGTCATGGGGTGCCATTTTATGACTGTGTCAGATCGAAATCTGTGGCTGCAGATTTCACAGCTGGAAAAGTAAAATATTGGAAATACGTCTATAAAAGCTTCTTCTAATGCATTAGTTCACGTCTTCACTTAAAATTTATTGAAAACCCTCACTGCATAATTAATTTTGATGGAAATAATTTGTATCAGCTGAATCATATACATAGTTTTCGATGGGCCTTAATTTAGCAAAAGTTACTCCCGTTGGCCGCCATATTGGAGGTCGACTCGGTGAGTTTTCCTCTTTGTCTTATTAAGTTTAAGAAAATATAGCAGAAATATTCGGTGGAAAATCTTTGATAAATGATTTTTTTTTAATAAAGGAGGCTTCCAAAAATTTATATACTTCAGAAAAATAATAATTCCTAATTCAAAATCGCAAAAATAAAAATCTAAAATTGGTTGAACAATGAAAATCAGCCCTGTTCAGGCTTTGGTTTTGGACCTCCATGTATGGTGTCATGGGAAGTAACTCTTGCGCAAATTTAGGCCGGTTTGACGACTAATCTATTATCACTGATTACACTTAAAGCTTCCATCTACTTTTTCCTGTTCTTTAAATTTATGTTCATATATCAAAAATAAAAATAAGTGTAACTGATGCAATCAAAATTTGATAAACAATTTAATAAGACTGCAATAATCTGATCATACGTTATAATTTATAATATACCTGTGTGCATGTCATGTAAATCAACCGGTGGAGGGTACGCCGGATAGTACTAAAAATAAAAACATAAATGTATAGTAAGTAACATTCTTTCCACGTCGTTCAAGATACATGCCTTAATTCAATTTCATTTTTTACTGGTTATTTCATATAACAGAGTAAATTCAAACTAAATATTTGTTCCCAAACCAGATCATTCTGGAGAATCGAAAACTAAAAATACTATTAAAGTTTCATAGATAATGAAAGCACGATCACAAAGACACACATAAATATACTCTAAAGTCATTTGAAACTTACATCAGGTGGAAAATCTGCTTGATCGCCCCACATGGTCGATGTTGTGGCAGTAAAGAAAGGATTGTTTCCCTTTACAATTGGAATAACGAGCCCGATATTAATAAAAATCGTCTCTCTGAGCGACTCCAACAATTGAGAAAAATAAAATGAAAATAAAATAAATAAATAACTAATAAAGAAAACAAATTGATAAAAATAAAAAATGAAAAAAGACGTAATATTAGAAAGTATTCTGAAAAAAAACATTGAATAATTTCATTATTTGCTTGTTTTTTAATAACACTACAAAAATAAATAATAATTTGTCAAATTTCTGTGCAAAGTATATGAGGAGTTGCGCATTATGTTATCCTTTTTATTGACAGTTAAAAAGTGCCCTATAACGTTAATTTCCTGATTATGACACATACACATTGTGTCATAAATACCTGCAAAGTTATGTGTGAAGTTGCGCTGACAAACTGTTTATCTCTATATTCAAGGTATGGCCAAATGCCTAAGTTAAACAGTGCGGAAAAAAAAATAACAGACTGGACATGAAAAATGACACATTTTTTCTGCAAAGTTTGACAGTGACCTTTAAATTTGCACAAATGACTGATGGCACTGAAGGTCATGATACACCTTGTTGCGTGATAAAAAATTGAATAATTTCATTACTTACTTGTTTTTAAAATGTGAAGTATGGACCACCATTTCTTTTTATCCAAAAGTTATGACACACCCTTCATAAGAATCTTTGTGTGAAGGGAAACTCTGACACAAATTATACAGTTTGAAAAATTTTTTTCTGTCAGTGACTTTGAACTTGCACAAATTAAGGTCATGATACACCTTCAGATCACAGGCACGTAGCATGGATTTTGAAAGTGGGGAGGCCAGCCAGAGAAATTTTTTTTTTTACCCTCAAAAGTCATAAACAATTAATCTTTGTGTGTGTGTGTGTGTGTGGGGGGGGGGGGGGGGGGGGGGGGGGGGGTGGGTGGGGGGGGGGGGGGTAGATTTTCTAATGCAATTCCTTTCAATAGCCAATTTTTAAGCTTACAATACTATTATTTCCTTCATATTACTTTACTTTAGTATAAAGTGGGGGGGCCAACCAGCCTTTCAATGAACATTTTCAATATGTATTATTGACAAGGTATTTTCTATATACCCTTAAACTTTGCTTGAAGGGGGTATAAAAAGCCTTTCAATGAACATTTTCAATAAAGACCAAAGAGCTACATATCTTCAGGATGACAGCTTGCAGCAGTAAATTCTTTACCCCACCCCAGCTCCTTTTTGGATGAGGATTGATTCAATTTTGAGTGGGAGGGGCTATGGCTTTCATATTTCACAGTTGTATATATTCCTTGTGACAAAACCTTTCTTTGGGTACCACCAACTTTGACCTCTTGACCTTTGGAGTTTGACCTACTTTTACAAAAAAATACCACACTTTTACATTGGCTATAACTTTTAAACCGACGGTGCTAGGACTTTCATTCTTCTAATATGTATTTTATGTGACAAGACCTTTCAGTGCATGGATTTCAAAAACTTTGATCCTTTGACCTTGGCATTGGTAGATTGACCTACTAATCAAAAACTTTAACATTGGCCATAACTTTTAAACAGTAAGGGCTAGAGCTTTCATACTTCACACTTGTTATCCTTGCGACAAGATATTTCCTAGAATATGAACAATTTTGAACTTGACCTAGGATTTTGACCTACTTTTAAAAAACTTTACCTTTACCACAACTTTTTAACAGCTAAAGCTAGGGCATGACATATGTAATCCTTGTGACAAGACCTTTCTAGGATACCAACAACTTTGATCTATTGACCTTGACCTAAGAGTTTGACCTACTTTTAAAAAACTTTAACCTTGGCCATAACTTTTGAATGATTAAAGCTAGGGCTTTCATACTTCAAATATGTATTCCTTGTGACTTTTCTTACGAAACCAAACACTGTGACCCTCTGACCTTAACCCTAAAGTTTGACCTACTTTTAAAAACCTTTAACCCCGGCCCTAACATTAGAACAGGTTGTGCTAGGGCTTTCATATTTCACAATTGTATTTCTTGTGAGAAGGCCTTCTTTTGGGTACCAACATATTTGATTGGCATTTGAGAAAGTGTAACCTTTGCTCAGTTGTCATACTTCAGAAACACATCTTGTATTTTGAATTTCAGTTTATTATCCTTTTAATTTAATATTCTTCAAAGTTTTTCTTGTTTGAAAAAACAAGACATAAGTCAAGACAATAAACAAGTGTAAACCATTAGTGTTAAAGTTTCATCAGAAAGTCAGGTTCTACAAAATTTCTTAGAATTTTCTCAACAAACATGGAGGTATGTTTTACAAAAATAAAATCACCATTATCAAGATACTTAAAATACAGAAATAGTTTCACCTTTGAGATGTATGACAAACTTCATTTCAACTTCATTTAGAGGTATGTTTTACAAAAATAAAACCGTCATTATTAAAAATGCATAAGATACAGATATAATTATACATGTACCAGCATTAGAAATGAATGGTAAACTTTGAACAGATAAAACATGAATATGTATAAAAGCAGGTCATCAGTAAAAATTTCTTTATCAGACTAGCTGTGAGGTTGTTTATTACAATAATTAAATTTACATCAGTATCTATTAAAAATATATGTATTAATTTAAAAATCAATAGAGAGAGAGAAAAAAGTTAAAATGATCTCTTCATCAGAAATCAAAACTCACTTTTCACCAGTAAAGATATAAATAAAAAATATTTTATTTCCTTTTAAAAATGAGTTGAATGCTATGAAATCTATAGAAACATATAAAATATAAATTATCACGAAATATCTAATAAAACATAACATATAAACAATCAACAATGCTGCATGTAATGCCAATAATTAAATTCATAAATTATGAAAAATTAGAAAAAGAATATATAGACTATTACCAAGATTTCAAAAAGCACTATTCTAATTCTTCAACATTCAATAAGACTTTCTTGATAAATTTCATGTCTGCCAGGGTCTTCTCCCTTTGTGCATGTAGACATTCTCTTGGAAAGGAGGTAGATATAGTGTAATGCTTCTGACTGAATCCAAGGGAGGTCATATAATCCAAGACATGCTGTAAAAAAAAAAACATATGAAAGATGAGAGCTACCTTGAAGAAAATGTCACCAAAGAAGAAAGTTCACATTGGTCCATTTTTGGCCCTGTGAATTTCTGAAAAATAAGAACTACTCAGTTTTAGTTGAAAATATGTTATATTTCACTTAGACCCTTGGTGACTTCATATCAAATAAAAATGACGTAATTTTTTCTCTTGTCTATGTATTATGACGTCATGAATTTCATAATTTTCCTCAAATCTTGAAAATTTCGTTAAAATGACCAAAAATTTAAGCTGTTTTTTAATATTTTGCATAGCCCCCAACCTCTGATCTAAAATATTGAATTATATAATGAAAGAACTGTTTTAGAAGATTCTAATCCATGGAAGAATTTTTGGATCGCAGGGTGGGCTCATATTTTTATCACAGGTTGAAGATGCTCAATTTCACCTATTTTCTTCAAAAACTTGGACTCTCAGAGGAAATTTTTTTTATAGGAAATGAAAGCACTAAGTCTCTACTTTATGTTGATGATCGAAATAGGACGTAAGAACTTGGTCGGTTAATTAGTATATTGACAGGGCCATTTTATGGAGTACGTGAATCTACCTCTTTACGCAGTTTATGTGATTTACTGTAAACCAACTTTTATTCGTGTGTGATAAATTTTCGCAAAGTTTGCGAGAGCCTCGCCATCATGAATATTTCTCACTGCGAACTGGTCCTTAAAGTGCATGTGTCTATCAACAACAGATCCAAAAAGGCCTGGTCACAAAAATTAATCATCGCGAACTAGTTTATCCCTGGTAAATCGCATAATAAAATAGTAGCGAATTAAAGTTGGTTTACAGTACCTTTAAATTTCTTCTTTTACAAAAGTTATTGTAACATTATTATTTCCCCCCTGCTGTTAGATGCAGTCCATCCCCAATACAATTACATTCTATAGACCTATAACTACAGGTTTTCAAATTGCTTCCATCCGAGTTATGAAAAATGTGGAGTACCGGGGTATATATATAAAAAAAAGATTTTGTGTAAGATTGAAGTGGTCTTAAGGCCTGTGGCCAGACTGTACCATACGTTAATTTACAGTGAAACTGCATGTGTTCTCTAGGGATGAAGGAATTCATAAATTACACCATTAATCCAAAAACCATAATTTTTCAAGTAGTACTTTAAAAAAAAATCTAAGAATAAACCAAAAAAAAAAATCAAAAACCCCTCCCCCTACAAATATACCATAAAAATTTGACTAATTTTTAAAAGATTTTTCTCTAAATAAAGTAGTAATCTGACTGCGTGATGACAGCATTATGATATCTGGATCATCACGCTACAGGGAATGACCTGGCAGAGATAAAACAGTGTATATAAACCAAGTCCACAAACAAAATCCTCCTTTCTCAGCTCATACAGACGTAAGTTACCATCACCCTCCCTCATCATGAGTTCCACTACCCCCAAACATTTCATAAATTATATGTAACATCTGCCCTTGAGATTCTTCCAAAGATTCAAGTTCATTCAGAAAATAAATGGTCAGTAAGGTTATGGTGTTACAATAAAAATTTCCGCTGTTATGACTCATTTCATGTGACACCAAAACAGCTATCAATGTCACAACCTATGTCACTCCAATTTCAAAGAGCTTTGGCTAAAACTGTGAAGTAAATTTTGAACCTCTGATTCTTATTTTATTCGTACTTGAACTTTTTAATTGTCTCTGGAACTCTATTTTATTTACAGAAATTTATTTAAGCAATCTGTGTATGTATAGTTTTTCTTTTGGCAAAAGTATCTTTCATTGAAGTTTTCTCTGATGCTACTTGACATAATGTCTAACAAACTACAAACGACGTGAAATAATAGTGTAGGGGTTGGCTTTAGTCAGACTGAACAGAATTCCCCCTCTCCATTTTTAAATGCTCTTATATACCCTTAGTGACTTACAGTAAGAAATTAAGCATTACACATTTGATGTATTAGACAAATCCAATCACCTGATGCCTTCTCTTGTTTTATACATGTATTTAATATTTTTTTCAAAATCTTACATCATAATATTCAAAGTAAATGATTTCAGTCATTTAATGTAAATATATGTAAGCACTAAAACTGTATTTAACAGTGTTTACTTATACTATAATTTCTGTTATCTTTTTCAAGATAGTGAAGAATTCAGGACGGTGATTTATCTACATGTAGAGCAACCTTTAGCATCTGATTGTAACTGAACATGATGAGGGATAATGGACAGGGGTCATTCCATCGCATGACAGACACCACTGATACAGGGCCAGAGATAAAAGAGTGGCCTACATAACTCACCTGTGTCCGAAACTAAAAATAAATAGTGATCAAGTGGAAAAATTTCCTCGTTTTTTCCTTGGGAAAATTTTTGCGTCTCTGTGTGCTGTTATTACTTTGGAATGACAGTGTGACCTTATTACTAGGATAGTAGGATAAGGCCATGTCATTGAAATTGCGGTCTTTGTGAATTATCAGTGTTCTCAATGTTGGCTAATTTCACCCCCCAACCCCACCCTTTCCTTGCATAAATTCCTATAAGTTTAATTTCCATTTTCATTTAAAAATTAGGATAGATGGAAATGGTGATTACCAACATCTTTGATGAAAACACACAAGCAACTTAGCAACTCACTTATAAGAATGAAATGTTCTTCTGGAGAAAAAAAAATATGTGCCAAACAGACTATAAAAGAAAGAATGAATGCATTTGAATTTATACAAATTATTTGATTTGATGAGATGCAAGCAAGCTAAATTGCCAATTTATCAAACACCTAAATACAAGTAAGTCAAAAATTTCAAGAGACCATGTCAAAATCTGGTGTGCCCAAAGTCTGTGACATTACCCTATATCCACACATACCAGCACAAAAATAACTGCATTATCAGCTCAAAGTGTAAACACACATTATGAAACGTACATCCAGGTCAACATTTAGGCCTCCTGTCTTTAGTAAATTAACTCAAATATTTTCATTTAAAAAAAATGCATATACAAGTACTTTTAAAGTTATCAAATTCAAATTATTTGCATATTTTTCATAATAGCCAAAATACTATACTAACTCTCTGGTTGAAAAAAGTTCAAGACAAACAAATCGGAGAGCTACTAATCCAAGCCTCGTAAAAACCATCAACTTACAATGCCTCCTTTTTGTGGCTCATTCCTGATTTTTATAAATCTAGTTTCTTTTTATATTCATAATGTCTTCCTTTATAACTCTCTGGTATGTCTATCTGATTACTGTCAACCAGAGAGCTACAGTTCTACAGCTTCTTCATAAGGTTTTAAGAAACAGAGAATATTGCAGCTTTCTCACCTGAATTGTATTTTCTTTATTAAACCTCCGCTGCTTTGCACCTAGTGGAGTCCTCAGACAGACAGACACACAGTCAGGGCTGTTTTCATCAGGCTCTTCTGGTAGCTCAATAATCTAAAAAAAAAATTGTTAAATTCTGTTCAGCTTTAGTAGACAGTAGTGTTTCATTTAAGCACTGAGTGACTGTTTATTTTTGTTATACTGTATACATGGACATTTTCGCTCCAATTTTATTTTCGCCCCTTTCGCCTCACCTTCATTTGGGCAAATTTAAAATGCCAGGGATGAATTTAATAAATGCAGTATAATTTCTTCAATAAAACTATGACTGGGTGAATTTAGAAGGGGCAAAATTGTCTGCAATTGTGAAAGGGCAAAAATAACCCTGTATACAGTATATGATGTATGCTTTCATACTGAATAAGATGCCCTATGTAAGTTTAAACGCACACCTTGTGTAAGATATAGCTTTCTTCTGATGACATCATATACAGAATTAAGAAGTAAAGATTGCTTTTAAAAGACAAAAAAAGATACATTTGTAACACAGAGATTTAATAAACAGTGTTTAAAGGTAACATGTGTTACATACCTTTTTCCTTCTGTTCCGTTTTTCGGCCTGCACCCTGGCTCTTTCGGCTGCTGCTAGGTTGATGTTTTCTGGTAAGACTCGATGTCTGGCAGCCTCAGTAGGAGATTCCTCCTCATCCTCCTCCTGCTTAGAGCCCTGAAGACAATTATATATATATATATACATGTATTTAAGATCATCAAAACTAAATGGTGTAAAAAGATATAAAAGGGAAAGTTTTCAATGCTTATTTCTATTTCATCTTCTGTTAATTGTCCTGCATTATTAAAATCTCTTTAGTAGCATTACTTTGCATACTAGAAACAATAAAATGAAGGATGTTAAGCTGAAAGATCCATAGAAATACAGTCAACGTTCAGTTTATGTTCCAATATCATCATTTCCTTCTCTAAATAAGGACAGAACAAATCACAACTCTTCATTTACAACACATGTCTAGTACCCAGACACCAAGAAAACAATTCGTGGAAATCTTGACAATAAGAAGTACCCCTAACTCTTGTCCCTCCCCTTCCCAAGCGGGGCCCATGAACCGCTGAAATTCATCCTCTTTTTGCTTCTTCTTTCTTTCTTCCCTTGGAATCAGAATTCTAGACTTGTAACCTTCAGCCTGTAAGATTAAAATGTTAGAACTTAGCCAATAATAGCTACTGGAGCAACATACCAAATCCATGTAACATCCCAACATTGTATGTAAAGGTTGGTCATTGAGCCTGGGTTGCTCAACGGTAGAGCTCTCGCACAGTTAGCGGGAGGTCATGGGTTCAAGTTCCAGTCTGACCGACATTTTTTCACACCTTATAGCAGCAAACAACAAAACCTATGGTGGTTTAGTGGTATCAGTTAGGTTTTTTCTGGATGATAAACATCAATGCATTCTGTTGTCATATTGTGTCTGTCTATTTTTTGCAAAGATAGACACAATAGAGCCTAGGTATTGAACAGTGGGGCGAAGGTTCAGCCCCCCCCCCCCCCCTTTCAACAGGCAGAGGTTTCAATGTAGTCAAAGATGGGTAAAAAACTGGAACTAAAAGAAACTTGAATCTCCCCTCCCAAAATAGGATTTTTGCCTTTGGAGAATTTGCTTCCAAAGCCAATGTGGATTTTTTTTTAAGGTTAAAGGCAAGCACAACCCAAAAAGGTTTGTTTTAAGTAATTAGCTAGTTATTTTCAATGCAAATCCTTTTGTATTCTTCCAAATCATTTGGGAGCAATTTTCATTCTGCAGTTTTTTGCTACATTATGATTGTATGGGAGGCATTCCAACCATGGTGGTTAACATCCTATTGAGAAAAGAGGAATCTGGTAAAGGACATGTATTGCTTATGCAATACTCTCAGAATGCTTGTTACATGTATATACTTTTACATATTAAATTTAAAATGAGGAACCTTCTAAGTCAAATATTATATCTCCCTTTTCTACATAAATTTCTTTGAAAAGCAGAACTCTCTGATCTTTGAATTATATTACTTGTACATGTACAAACTGTAAAGTATTTAATCTATCAAACATTCAAACTCAAATATTTTATCTATGATCTAAATAAACAGCTTTCTCCCTTAATTATCTTCAAATGCCTCTATAAAGGATAATAAGGAAAGCCTCAGTGGATTGTCAACCTGAAAATCACTGGAGTGTGAACTTGGGTATTTTGAACTAAATACTATGTTTCAGCAGTGCATAAATCACATTACAGATAAACATATTAATATGTCTTAAAATTGGACACAAGGTGTGAACTGTTTTGTCCAGTTTCCCAGCCTTTTCCTTTAATTCTTACACACCCAGTTAAGTTCTCAACATTTTTATTTATGACTCAAATAAAGAGCATTGATGTTTAAAACTATTTCTCTGTCACAAATTTTGATTTCTTTACAGGATTTTTATCGGTGTTCATCAACATAATCTAGATTGAATTTATCCAGTCAACCTAGATACATTCTTATAATAGGGCAAATATTTAACAAATATTAAAAGTTATTTTATACACCACAAAATCTACTTCAGGATTCACTTAATCTCCTTAGAGAAAGGCATGGTATGTTACATACGGTTGTCCACTTCTTTTCATCCTGAAGAGAATCGTTAATAAATTTTACCTTTAGAACAACTTAATTTATTTGTCTTACACATTGTTTATTCATTTCTTCTTCTTTTTTAATTTTTATCTGAAAAAATCAAGGACTCTAACATGTATGTATAAAACAGCTCTGATCATTCAAATTAATGTGTCCAAGAAACGAAATGAAGAATATCACAGCAAATTCATATTTACAGGATCTTTAAAACAACTCTTTGAAATAAAATGTCTGCTATCAGCTCTTCTTTTTCAAATATAATTTTAGTTGTAAATTTGAAGTGAATTTATTTTTCTACTTCAATAATATATTTGTTTACTTGTTATATTTTATATAAAAGTAGTATAAAAGACAAAGACCTTTTTATGGTGGTCATGTTGAATTTTCTCTTTGAAATATTGTTCTTCACTTTGATGTTTGCTTGGATCAACAATGGTGTCCTGTAATTTTTCTGAAATTTGTTAAAATGATAAAATTTATTTCAAACTCCATACACATCCAGAACAAGAGATGTTTGTAAAACACTTATGCCCCCCTCCCCCACAAATTGGAATTTTTCTAAGTCCAGAAGGGCATAACTCTGTCAAAAATGGTGTGATCATACCCAAAACATACCTTGACCAAGATATTCATCTGACTAATCTGTATACTAAATTCCATTTCAATATATGCAACCTCTCCAAAGAAAATGTTCGGAAACTGCAAAAATATGGAATTTTTCTAAGTCCAAGGGGCATAACTCTGTCAATTATGGTGCGATCGTACCCAAAACAGAACTTGACCTAGATATACATCTGACTAATCTGTATACTAAATTCCATTTCAATATGTGCAACCTCTCCAAAGAGAATGAGCGGAAACTGCAAATAATTGGAATTTTTCTAAGTCCAAGGGGCATAACTCTGTCAATTATGGTGCGATCATACCCAAAACAGATCTTGACTTAGATATTCATCTGACTAATCTGTATACTAAATTCCATTTCAATATGTGCAACCTCTCCAAAGAAAATGAACGGAAACTGCAAATAATTGGAATTTTTCTAAGTCCAAGGGGCATAACTCTGTCAATTATGGTGCGATCGTATCCAAAACAGAACTTGACCTAGATATTCATGTGTTATACCTGTATACCAAATTTCATTTCAGTATGTGCAACGGTTATGAAGAAAATGAACGGAAACTAAATGGACCGACAGACCAACCCACAGACAGACCGACTGACAGACAGCAGCAAAGCAATATGCCCTCCCTTCTTCGAAGGGGGGCATAATAATCAAAAACACTTACCAAGGCCACCAATAATAAATGATTTGTTTGATGTACTCAGACCAACCCATCAAAATAGCCTCAACCCAATCATTTTTTTTTCAGCACTTTTAATTTTTTTTTTCAGTTTCCATAGTATACTTTCTCTAGGATTCTTTTTGATTGACATTTTATAACAATAAATAATAAATCTGCATGTAAAACTGTTTCAGTGTGTAATGAAAACATCAATAAATTTCGGAGTCTGATTTTTATGACAGTTATCATTTTGTCCAGTAAGTACTGTAAAGGAAAACAAGAGGCCCATGGGCCACATCGCTCACCTGAGAATCTTTTGTCATATTGTTCTTTACCAGATTTATCCCTTGTAATACATATTGTGGCCCCGCCCTACCCCCGGGGGTCATGATTTGAACAATTTAGAATCTACACTACCCCAGGGTGCTTCCACAACAGTTTCAGCTTTTCTGGCCCAGTGGTTCTTGAGAAGAAGATTTTCAAAGATTTTTCCTATATATTTCTATATAAAACTTTGATTCCCCATTGTGGCCCCGCCCTACCCCCGGGGTCATGATTTGAACAATTTAAAATCTACACCACCCCAGGGTGCTTCCACATCAGTTTCAGCTTTTCTGGCCCAGTGGTTCTTGAGAAGAAGATTTTTAAAGATTTTTCCTATATATTTCTATGTAAAACATTGATGCCCCATTGTGGCCCCGCCCTACCCCCCGGGGTCATGATTTGAACAATTTAGAATCTACACTACCCCAGGGTGCTTTCACATCAGTTTCAACTTTTCTGGCCCAGTGGTTCTTGAGAAAAAGATTTTTAAAGATTTTTCCTATATATTTCTATGTAAAACTTTGATTCCCCATTGTGGCCCTGCCCAACCCCCGGGGGTCATGATTTGAAAAATTTAGAATCTACAGTATCTCAGGGTGCCTCCACATAAGTTTCAGCCTTATTGGCCCAGTGGTTCTTGAGAAGAAGATTTTTTAATGACCCCACCCTATTTTTGTCTTTTCTTGATTATCTCCCCTTGTGAGGGGACTTGGCCCTTCATTTTAACAATTTAAATTCCCCTTCACATAAGGATGCTTTGTATCAAGTTTGGTCAAAATTGGCCTAGTGGTTCTTGAGTAGAAGTGGAAAATGTAAAAAGTTTACAGACGGACGGACAGCTAGACAGACGGACGGACGACGGACAAAATGTGATCAGAAAAGCTCACTTGAGCCTTTGGCTCAGGTGAGCTAAAAAAACTACCTACCTACCGACCCAGCTTGAAAAATGTGGGTCAGAGTGCATCAAACAAAAATATTTTTAGTAATTTATTGAGCCATCATTTTAAAGCAATATGAGCTGCATATTTGAAAATTCTATTTTTTTGTCAAAATGTTTTATTATGATAAATTTGTATGTAACTTAAACCTTCATGATCAATTAGACTGAAATAAAGCAGAAGACAGACTTTTATATACAATCCCAGCTTTATATAAGAAATCATTAACGTACAGGACGACAATAATGTAATTTTGATTCAATCGAAGCTTATAAATAGTTCTTCGATCGCAAATATGAACAACAGAAGTTTATTAACGTTATTTTTTTCTGTCATTGAAATCGTTATTTACAATTTTGCAACAAAAATTCTGACTTCAAAGTTGCAGTTCATATTGCTTGAAAAATCTTAATGAACAAGTGTACATCACTCTTGTAGATATTGTATAATATAATTTTGATATATTTTTCAATTTTGTTCATTTTTATACATCAAATATTACACATTACCCAAATTGTGAAAATAACAATCAGGTGAAAATGGCAATTTTTTTTTAAAATTGTTCTGTTGCTTTTATTCCCTGGAAGCGGTTGTCTATATACCACAACATACTTAAACTGTTTAAAATGGTTTTTGTCTACAAGCAAAGTAGGATAATAAAAAAAAGGTGTAAAACAGTAAAATAACAAAAAGATAAATAAAGTTTTGAAAATGTAAAAGTTATATCTTTTGTGAAAATAAGTCAATGAATATTAATTTCATATTTGCTCTGTAAGTCAACATCAAGAGGCATATCAATATCAGCTGATTATCTATAGCATCAATGTCTGGAAAACTTTTCTGTGATGGCAATGAGGGAATGACAGGATGATGGAATTTCAGATCAAGATGGGTAACACTAGATGTCACTACATGTATGTGCCCAAGCCATTTCTTGCAGGGGCATAAAAATGCAGAGTAATTTTGAAAATCCATTTTACATGTAAACAATAGGATTTAATAAAACAGGTAACGTCATGTAAAAGATTAAAAAAATTTCATCATAATGAAGCCACACAGCCAGACTGAAATATATGTGATATACCTAGGTATTAATCAATACTGCAACAGAGCAAATATAAACCTGTTTTCAATGGAATAAATTTTGTGTTTTATTTGATTTTCATCAATTTAAAAGGATAGTAAATAACACATGTTCAAAAGTCCTTGCCATCAAAGAATAGGGAGCAAGAAACAGTTACCTGTAATTGACTGTATTTGTTAATTGTTATTTTAGCAATTAAGGTACATATCTGAGTGCAATAAGTACAATATATATTTTGCATTACTAGTAATTCATGCTAATTATCAAAATATGGATTCACACATGATTATCCTTTTAAAGCACATTTTTTTCTGTTTCACCCAATAGATATCCTGTTTATAAAATTAAATCTCTGTCTGATGGATCAACAACAAAGAACAAGTTTATGATACTGGAAAATTAATAATGTACAAAGTTCTGCAAATCATGTTTTAGTTATCAAAAATGTATTACCCCCCCTCCTTTCACCATCAATTGTCCACTTGTTACATTTTAGTAGATCTCACCTCTTTTTCTCTTCCATTTTCTCAATAATGATGCTCCATTTTGAATAATGAATGTAGCAACACCAAGGACCATTAAAGATTTAACAGCCAACTGTAACAGTAGGGTGGGCTCAAAGGAATCTACAAATATAACAATACACTGTATTACAGCTCAATGTAGTGGACATAAAACAACGTAGTGGACACAATACACCAATATAAATAGACTTACCAAAACAATATAGTGGGCATAATACAGTAATATATATAATTAAATGAACTTACTACAACAAAATAGTGGAAATAATACAGCTCAATAAAATGGGCATAATGGAAATCAATATAATGGGCACAATATATCCATAGTGGTTGACTCAAAGGAAGCTATAAATACAAAATTTCAAAAAACCTATTTGACTTTATACACCAATAGTTGACTCAAAGGATTATCAAATAATGCAGTAAAATGAGTTTAAAGGAAACTGCAATTATTACAACATAGCAGACTTAACAATACAGTGAGTATTATAGTTAGTGTTGTCACGATGATCAATTTATAATCGATGATCGGTCGGAAAGGCTGTCGATTTTAGACAATCAATTGGAGATTTCAACAATCGATTAATCAGTATATTTCAGCACATATCTTTTTTACAGTTATGTAATAGTTATTGTATATTTATTATGGTGTATCCTAATTTGGAAAGGGCACGAGTGCGAAGCAGGAGTCTAAAATAAATCAGGATACACCATAATAAATATTCAATAACTTTCTTGTATCATGGCCAATCAAACGTCATGTCACAGATTTTCAGCATGATTGTTAATTACACCAATAGAAAATGTAGTTTTTGTCAGGTGACCGCATGGATAATCTCTCCTTTCTGTCAGTATTTTTAATAAACATTTTATGTGCGTGTGTTCATGAGAAAGGACGTCGGATTGCAGCATCCCAGCACCCCCCCCCCCCTCCCCTGGATTTTAGAGTGTGGTGCAAAAAGTTTTTTCCTTGTCAACTGTTTTTGGAGGCCCCCTTTCTTTTAAATGTAGCTACGGACTTAAAGTTGCCGGTGTGATTCTGTGCATGAGTGCTGGGGGCACCGACCTGGAGTCTCCCCCTTTCAAAAATTGCTGGATTCGCCCCTGGATTGTTAATGGAATTCACAAGAAAACCTTTGGATAACAAAGAAGAAAAATTCGAAGTTAAAGAAGGTAAATTCTAGTGTTATTCGAAAATAACAAAAAAATTACCCGTTGATCATTTGACATATTCGAGAGCTGTCGTATTCACGAAAACGCTGTGTCAGGGTCAATTACTCTTCATCTGTGGATGCAGTACAGCGTAAGCCCTATATTACAATAGGTGGGATATTTTAATATATTTCTGTGTGGAATTCATGTCAAGAATTTGATTTCGCCTTGCTGTGGATTGAATATTTGAAGAGCTCCGTAAAATCATTTCGTAGTTTGGGATATATACGTACTGTAATTCATGTGAAAGACTTTTATTTCGCTTGCAGAATTTTTGCATTTGTATATTACAAAGCCCATTCATTCTGTAATTTAGATTCAATATACATGTAATTTAAAATGATGAAATCGCCTTGGTGTTCAATAATTTATTTACACGGCACAGTTTTTGCTGGCTCCGCCCATATACACGGCACAGTTTTTACTGGATACGCCCATCGGTGTATCTCCAGTTATTGTACACTTGACTTCAAAGGAAAATCACCGCAGCCATGATACAACTTTTATTTCAAGACCAGGCTCTTGTTATCAAAAAATACCCTAGGTATATCTTTCAAGAGTTGTCCTTTACTATTTTAAAATACATGTACTTAAAATCTGTTTAAAATAAATCAAAAGATAATGATATTTGTATTTCTAAATTGAAGAAACTAAACTACTTGTTGAAATAAAATATATAATTTTCAGTATTTGGGGGAATTCACCTGTCATTTCATACGGAATCACAAGGAATTCGCGATATGAAATGTCTTATAACAGTTAAAAATTAATTCCATATATATTTTAGATGATCATGTAAATTAAAGCCTGATCTGTCAATGCTTACTTTTCCCAGGCCAAGTAATTCCTAATCATGAAAAAATCTGTATTACTGAAATCGTTATTCAAACTGCATATATATACTGTTTTTAGAATTTCGATCTGTACAATGCACCTTTACTTACATTATTTTACAATGAAATATAATTTTTATAAAATCTAATGCCTATTTTATGCAAAGGGTTACCGATTCGATTATTGGCCGATGATCAGTTGGTTAGGGTCAACCGATGTTACCGATTAATCGATTCTGAGTTTCAACCGATTTGACAACACTAATTAAAGTACATCATACTGGGCATGTTAGACTTCATACAGCAATATAGTGGGGCTAAATAAAATATACTACTGTATAAGTAGAATTTTTAGCGAGGATTTAATTTTGGCATTATTAGCGAGTGTGTTGAGATCGCTAAAATTGAATATCGCTAAAAATTTATTGCGTTTTATTTGTAATAGGTTCTTCGGTGAACTTTTTAAAATCGCTAAAATTACAACTCGCTAAAAATAGAATACCAATTTCTAAGGACAAATCGCTAAATTTGCCTCTCGCTAAAATTTCCACTTATACGGTATATTTCAGACTAAAATCCATCTTCGCTAGCCATTAAGGTTTCTGATACACTACTCAAGCTCCTCAAAATATGACTAAAATCTCCTATATTAATTATCAAATAATGCAGACCATTCAATTCATTATGTATGTAATTAGGAAATAGGAATCATCTAAAACATTGATAAAATAACTGTAATACTGATGTAGAACTGAGCCCTTCAGAAGTTGACAATTGGCCTTGATGATTAAAAATCTCCCACAGTATATGTACACTAAATCAGGGTCATACGAGAGGTCATACAGGACATCATAAGTCCTGGTCAGTATCACAGGATACACATACAGGATCATCTACGTACTGAGTATCACCCTACAAAACGGATCAGGACACGGACAATGTAAAATACTAGTAAATGTAGCTCATTGAATTGTCAAGGAAAAATATCAATTTCTTGAGAGTCATAATCTAGAACTTGATTCTATATTTGTTCTAGAAATTGTAGTGCACCACATTTTTTTTTTCTTAAATCAAAGAACTTTTATTATGAGCAATTAGATTTTAACTACAGACAAAATTTTTGCAAGAACCAAAAAAGATTCATATTCACTTTAAATTAAATTTTCTTTCAAAAATAGCTACATAATACATGGAACCACTCTATACAACATTAAAACAGAATATTCATTTTTTTATTCTCTCCGATTGATTATTCTACAATTAAAAAATTCATGACGGCCTGCAATAGGTGTTTGATTCAACTATATTTCACTTCGTCAGTAATTCTTACAATCATCCAAGTACGAAAGAAATCAAAAGTGGTAAATCAGAAGTCTGAATCCATATTCCAATAAGTAAACAGAGGAACCTCATTTCAATTTCTTTTTGCTTTGGTTTATTAATTATTAATAATTAATTATAAGATAATTTTTTTTTTCAATTGTATAATTTTTTTTTGAGGTGGGGGGGGGGGGGGAGACTTCTTAGAACATCCATGTAGATCATACAGGGTGTAAAACTCTGTGATTACTACGTAGTTTCTATTATTGTGTGTTTTATATTACTAATATACAGAGCACTACAAAAAAATAACTTACTTATTTAAAAAGATCAAATAAGCTAGCATATTTACACATCATAAAATATAAATTCAAAATATTTGAAAAACTACATAAAAGATCAAAAAACTATTGTTTATATTATCAATTAAAAGAAATCATTACTGCAACTATAAGCAGTCTTGACCTTCACCAGCTGTATTTAATTTAGAAATGTATGTTTTCTGCATAAAATTGCCATGTCCTGGAAAAATCTAATATTCTAAATCCTATAACCCTGTCAAAATAGCCTTAACATTGACTAGCGGGACACAATAAATCTGAAGGTACAAGTTTTCACTAAATCCATCAGAAACTCTGCAATCATGTAATATATACTGTAGATATAGTCTCATGGAAATACTTAAGCTGCAGAACTGTAGCTATCCAAAAAATATATTGACAGACCAGAGAGCTACATAGCCCCCCACTGAAAAAAACTGTATATTTATTGCAAACAAAAATTTGCGCATGATACCAGTCGGATATCAATTGATTAACTCAATTTATAAACCTGCCTGAATAAACTTCTTATTTTTTGATAATCTTTCTTACTTTAATTTTTAAAGAAATATAAAAATGAATAAATTGTTTTAAGTACTCTTCCTTACTTTTATAATTTTTTAAACAACAATGGAATGTTACATGCTATTGAAATCATGCATCCATTTAAATTTCTAAAATATTTAAATGCTTTGCGTATTTTAGCAACTCAAAGTTTACTATACTTTATGGGGTAACTGGTGTACAATGTAGCATAATGGAAAATTTTGATCTTTTTTTAGTTTTTTTTTCACATTGGTCAAGTCTAGTACAAGAACTTGTTCTTTTTAAAATGTTGAGAAACATGTCTACTTGAACCAAAAAAAAAAAAAATGTGTCTAAATGTTTGGTATCGAGTGTTTAACAACTTAGTTAATCTTCGTCAATAGGATATGTTTTATTTTGTTACAGAACAGAGCAGACCTGACTATAAACTAACCTAGAAAGTAAATGACAGCAAAAGCTGTGGTGGTTACTAGTAAAGCAACACCGTAGTAGTCCATTAGGCAAATAAAGCTTATGTCCTCAAGACTGATAATACTACGTAGTTGCTTTTGTATGCACCATTTGATGCAAAAATTACGTCGTCATCGTTCGATTGTTTGTGTAGCTCTTCAATGTTGAGGAGATAAGAAATTGGGACATATATTCATTGACCAATTATGTGAGATGAAATAATCACGTGGTATACCTGCTTTCTATAAATTGCACAGAGACCTTCTCTGTGGCCTCTTTTCCACTCAGTAGAAACATCGTAACGATACAAGATGTCTACGCCAACAGTAAACGGCCTCAATGGAAGTCATTACCAAGAAATAAACCACCATTATGCAGAAGAATGCAGCCAGGACGATATTGGCACCTTTTTATTCACATCAGAATCAGTGGGAGAGGGACATCCAGGTAAAAAAAACTCATGTTTTAACGTTTTTATCAACGAAAATTGTACACGAGAGATGATGCATAGTTGTTGCATCATGGCTTCAAACAAGCACGTGTTTTTGTTTATATGGTGTAGAAATTTTTAATTGTTTGATTGCTATTATAATGGGTGAGCTGTCTGACCTGTTGAGACAAGTGACACTAATCGGGTTTATGTATCATTCATGCATTGATCTTATTCGCCTTTTGTGTTGCTTGTATTGCTCAATAATGACCCAGCGTTGTGTCTGTACTAGTTTATGGACTTGTTCATGTTTATGATTACAATCTTACAGAATAGAAAATTTGGTTAAATATCACAAAACACTATGAAAAGGATATTGAAAGGGTCAAACTGGCATAAGCATGCACATGTATGATGTAAATATAGGTCATGTGAATTCCTGCAAAACTGAATATATGCATTTCAGTTTTTCATCCAGAATGGGCCCAGTTTCAAAAAATCTTGACATTTAGCATTTTGGGCAGTTCAAACAAAGTCTTAAAAAAAGTTACAGGACATAAGATCTGGTAAAAAATGTACATGTACATTTTTTATGATGCAGATATTTTGAAAGGGGGGGGGTATTTTTTTTAATAGAAAATTGAATCTTAAACAAAAACAATGTAAGTGGTTTTGTAAAGTGAATAGGATTACTAAATTAACAATGTTATTTTGCTTTGTAATGGTATAAATTTTGCACAACATTCTCTTGTTTTTCTTCCAAATGAAATGTGCAGTTTTAAAGATTTTTTAAAACTGAATTTAATGTCATTGTTGCCATACAAATTGCATAGTTGCTCTCAACTGAATCTATGTACATGTGTTTTCCATAACAGTGGAAAAACGATCATGACAGGCTTATTTTCGGCATAAACTAGCTGATAAATTTACAGAATTGTATCTCGAGATCTACGTTGACACTTTTTTTGTCACACTTTATTAAGTACATTAAGATCTAGTGTACATGCAAATTTTATTTTGACCTGATATTTAGAAGACGAGCAGTCCTGAATTAAGATTTCTTTTAATACACCCAAACCAAGTTTTACCAGTATAACTGATGGTCCAATAATTGACAAGTTTATACAAATGTAAATCTACCTCTGCTCTAAATGATAGTAAAATTTGTTCAATCATCTACTCCAGAATCATGGGCCAGGAAAAAAAAAACATTTAAGCAATTCTTACTTGTATGGTTTAAGTTAGGTTTTGTTCAATTTAAGAAGGGGGCCATAATGAAGCAACAAACTTTTTTAAAGGATAATAGAAATTATTTTTGCCAAACTATAGGACCTAATTTTATAATAAACATCTTCACAAATTATTCAAATATAGACCTATGAAAGATCATGAAAATTAGTCCTCTCAAGGTTGACAGCTTCCCAGTCAGGCATGTAAGTGTGAATGCATCGTAATGCTGTATGAATTCAGGTAGGGGGTGGGTGGGGAGAATCTTGACAATTTTTAAGAATCAAGGTAGGAGAAAGTCAGTTTAGTCCCCTTTTAGAACATAACAGTTTAACACCTAAACTTGACCTGATGAATATTAAATGATTCTTCAGTTAGATTGTGCGTGTGGTATCCATAGTGTTGCAAATTAGTGTAAAGAATTTTATTTATTACGAATGATTTAGAATATTTGCACTCCACATCGCAGATAAGTTGTCAAAGTCATTATTATTCATATATAAATATGAATTAATCAGGAGTAATATTTATAAATATATCAATTTTGAAAGACCTGAGACATTATCTCTTGGTAAAATATGTAAATGATACAATATTTCATTAATTCAATAATTAAAAGATTTTATAAGTGAACTATAACAAGTAGTTGATGTCTAATCTAAAATGTTGATAGGAAGAGAATGCATACTGTTTAATTCACTGTAATATTTTAAAAGTCCAAATTGATTATTCTCTATTTAGCTAATGAATGTCATTGATGCATGAAGGAAGTTACCCTGATATCGTGTACACTTGATCGTTTGTTATTGGGTTTTAAAAGAATGCTTTGCTCCAGCATATAAGCACCATAATGACATCTTTCTTTTTCTGAAATTTAAACAACTCATTTTTTTTCCCCAGACAAAATCTGTGACCAGGTTAGTGATGCCATTTTGGACGCTCATCTGAAACAGGATCCTAACGCTAAAGTGGCCTGTGAGTCAGTGTCCAAGACGGGAATGATCCTGGTGTGTGGAGAAATCACATCTAAAGCAGTGGTAGATTATCAGGATGTGATCCGTGGCACCATTAAACAAATTGGATATGATGACTCTAGCAAAGGTAATTATACTTTGGACACAAAAATCAACCCTTGCTGACAGGTTGAATGAAAAGAATCATAACCCAAAGTGAATTTCATTTTCTGACCATTGTAGGTTTCGACTACAAGACCTGCAATGTTTTGATTGCTTTGGAACAGCAGAGCCCCGACATTGCCCAGGGTGTGCATGTTGACAGAGACGATGACAATATTGGAGCAGGAGACCAGGTAAAATGACCGGTTTCTCTTATCTATATCTAGGACGTACATGATTTTAAACTTTTTAAAGGAAGTTTGGATATTTAAATGCCATTGCTACCCAAACAGTGATGCTTAATCTAGAGCAGAGTGACATACGGAGATCTTAATTTTGGACAGGACTACTATTACTTTTCTTCTTTGTCATTCAAGCGTCAAGTGCATAAAGAGAAAAAATTATGGTTAACATGCCATCAATTAAACGATTTTAAGTATTTATATAGAGGAATATAGGTGTGATGAAAAAGATATTTATTACCAGCAGAGATTTTCATTGCTTATTTGTACTATCTAAAATCGACTTTTACTGGTCACTTTATTGATCCCAATGCAAGTTACTTTACCTCTGTTTTGAACAAGGACAAACTAAAAAACACCACCTCCCCCACACACAAATGTGTTACTACATCCCTTCCAACTCCATTGCAAAGGGGATAAGTACCCAAATCACATTTTTTTTTCCCCTACCTAGGATTTTTTTTTTCACAAATAAATGTTTTCCCAGGGTCTTATGTTTGGATATGCCACAGACGAGACTGAGGAATGCATGCCTTTGACCGTTGTTTTGTCACATCAGCTTAATGCCAGAATTGCACAGCTTAGGAGAAGTGGGGAATTAAGCTGGGCCAGACCTGACACAAAGACACAAGTAAGGCATTAACTATTAAAAAATTCTCTCAATTTATCATATTTTTTTAATTGGTCATTTTCTTAATATTTGAATTTTTGTTCACAGGTTACAATCGAGTACAAGTACGATAAAGGAGCTTGTGTACCACTTCGTGTTCATTCAGTTGTAATTTCTGCTCAACATGACGAAACTGTGACTCTAGAAAAGTTGAGGAAAGAGCTGATGGAAAAAGTTGTGAACTATGTGATTCCACAGAAATACCTAGACAAAGACACAAGATATCATATTCAGCCATCAGGGAAATTTATTATTGGTGGACCACAGGTACAAGATCAGTTCTTTATACTTGGGTCTTCATTAGAACTTGACGGTTTTTTCAAATTCATTTTGGTGTTTGAAAATGAAATAAAACTTGATGTTATGTGTTGACTAAAATCATTCATATGTGTTAGGAAAAAAAATACAGTAAATTATTAAAGATGAAAGAATATTGTATTGTTGAGAAGTACGCAATTTTGATTTTATTTTATGACAGGGTGATGCTGGTTTAACGGGTAGGAAGATCATTGTGGATACCTATGGAGGTTGGGGTGCTCACGGTGGTGGTGCTTTCTCAGGAAAAGACTTCTCCAAAGTGGACAGATCAGCTGCCTATGCAGCCAGATGGGTGGCCAAGTCTCTAGTCAAAGCTGGGCTGTGCAAACGTGTTCTTGTACAGGTTCGTAAGAGCTTTGTTGAATGTTGGTTTTTAGGGAAGAGGAAGAATGAATGTTTGTCATGCTGTGAGAATATAAGGGTAACATTTTGACCTTTTGTTGTTTATAGGTCTCCTATGCCATTGGTATTCCTGAACCAGTTTCCATCACTGTATTCAGTTATGGAACATCAAAATATTCTGAGAAACAACTCTTAGCTGTGATCAACAAGAACTTTGACTTGAGGCCAGGAAAAATTGTCAAGTAAGTCATTTTCATTATCAGAATGTGATTATTAATTGCAAGACATTTTCAGTACTCATATCTGACATCTATCAAGTGAATAAATTCATGGTGATATTTTTTTTTGGTTTCATTGTTTCACAGGGTTAAGAACTTGAAATATTCCATTTAATACATAAATGCATTGTTTATTATAGGGAATTGAATTTGAGAGCCCCTATTTACCAAAAGACAGCTTGTTACGGACATTTTGGCCGTCCAGATTTCCCATGGGAAGTACCAAAGAAGCTTATTCTGTAAGCCTCTCCAGCGGAGTCCCATAGACAATGTCATATTTGTATATACAACATTAAACATTTGTGATTCCAAAAGGGGAGTAGCCACAGTAGTTAAAAGACTAGTCAGACCAGACTTGAAAGATCCGATTTTGTAGTTAGACTTGACACAAATTATGATCAATGCCATATACTTACAGAGCTTGTCATTATTTGTGTCATTATGAGCGGGTTATATCTCCTCAAGTTCTGCTCAGATTCCGTCTTTTAATTATTGCAAATGTGTGATTTTCTAGTTGTCTTTTTATATGCACACATTTGTCTTGTGTTTATGAAGATTCATTGGGAAAAGAGCACTATTTATAAACACTCGGGCATCCCATAATCATTATTTATATCAATTTATATTGTTATATATTTAGCAAAAAACTGCAATTTTTATTATTGTAGAAATGTAATGCATTGTTACCAGTATTTGCAATGAAATGTTTTTATGTCGTGACTTTTTATTAAGATTGTTTTATTTTCCTATGTAAACTCTTTTAATATACAGTTCAATAATATGAATCATAATCAACATACTGCATAAATAATTGGTTTTGTAACAATTTGCAATGTACCTTGTGAAATGAGAAATGTGAGTCAAATTAATCATGAAATACTTAAACTATGACTGCTTTTTGTTTAAGACAGTTCAACTGCATTCCAACATTAGTACTGTTAAGTGTATCATCAGGTTTCTAAGGCCTGATACAAAACTATATTTGTACCTACAGATATATGTGGGATCAATAAAAGATGTGAAAAAAGGCTTTTTGTTCATGTGTACTTTATCAAAGCTTGAGCAAGGGTGAGGGTCCTTTAGCCTGATGGTAATTATACTCCCCACAAAAGAAGTTTTTGGGGAGGGAGTGTATATAAGAATCAGCTTGTCCGTTTGTCTGTCTGCAAAAATGTCTACATCTTTGTTATGGAGAAACATTAAAGTCTACTACTTCACACAAAGATTGCTCATGACCTAAGGGTATGTCATGACCTTGTTGATTATTATGTTCCCCAAACGAAGTTGGGGAACATATTGTTTTTAGGGTTTTGTCCTCGAGTGATCTTGTAAACTACACTTCTGACTAAGGTAAAATGTTTTTAGGGTCAGTAGACATGTTATGTAGATTTGCCAAACAAAGGTCATTTTGCGCGCACGTGCTTGCAAGAGCGCGCACGTGCAACACGAGAAATGCCCAATATAATTGATATAGACGTAACTTTTTCAATTTTTGATGAAATGCTTTGAAACTCGTAATATAAGGATAAATTAGTAGCATAGACAATATGACATGGTCAAAATAGCAAGATCTCACGTGCATGCACGTGCGCTTCGCTCTGATTGGCTGAAACTAAAGACTCAATATCTTTCTGGCTTTTTGACGAAATTCTATGAAATTTTGAACATAGCCATGCATTGGGATATCCTACAACATGATATATAGCAATAATTATGGAAATATGCGCATGCACGTGCGCTGCAATCTGATTGGCTGAAACTTTAACTAGCTATAACTCTCTTGGTTTTCAACCAAACAGGATTTTGTTATAATAAACTTCTACAAGATGATATGACACCATGCACATGCATGCACGTGCAAGTATGTGCGCTAATCTGATTGGCTGAAACTTTAAACACTATAACAAAACGGGATGGGATTTAGAACATAGATAGATGTAATTGACTTCTACAAGAAAGTATGATCACCATGCTCGTGTATGCACGTGCGTGCACGGGAAATATGTAAAATCAAAAATACACTTGAATGATTTTTTAAAAATTTCGGATAACTACTTTAATATTTAGTATAAATAATATATAGATTGTGTACACAAGATGATATGGCCATTACTTATATGCATTCACATTGCATTGCTAAAATTTGAATGAACTTGGTACACTTCTAGGTAAACGTTGGACTTACCATTTGCCATTATACTATTTAAACATGTATTTTCAATGGTCATGAGGGACCCATTTGCCATTATACTATTAAAAATTTAGAAATCATCCATAGGAAAAAGATGGCATCACTGAGTAAACTCAGGTGATCTACTGCTATCTGTTTTCATCTGTGTCATGCTTTGTTGAATAAGGCTACCTCTACCAAAATTGTGAAATTCATGGCCCCTGGGTCAGGGTTTCTAGTGCTAGGGCAGGGCTCTCTTGATTATATAGTGAAATTGCATAAATTCTTTGAAAATTCTCTGCTTCTGTGTATTAAATAAACTAACCAAGTTCATAGTTATGTTGAATAAGGCTGACTCTTCCCAATTTGTGAATTTCAGGACCCATGGGTCAGGGGTTCTGGCATTGGGGTGGAGCTCTAATGAATACATGAATTCTTTGAAAATCTTTTCCTTTGCTCCTGTTTAATATGCCAATGATCTAATTACTTATTTATGATGAAGAAAGGTGCCTCTTTCAAAGTGGTTAATTTTAGGGCCCCTGGGTCAGGGGTACCCGGGGGTGTGGGGTACTTTTTGTCTAAAAATAAATTAATGCTTTGAAATCAGCTCTTTGGTATTAATCAATCGTTTACGATGAAAGAAAATTTATGATAAAATTTTGAAATATGTGGCCACAGGGTCAGTGGTTCCTGTGAGGTGGGGTTGCACAGCTGGTGGTTATAAAGTGGAAATGCATTTTCTCCTTGTCACTCTTATTAGGTAACGAAAGTAAGCATACTAAGCGTATGATTTTATAAGCAGTGGTGCCTCTTTCAAAATTGTGAATTTCATGGCTTTGGGATTGAAAAACGAATAACATTCAATTGCTGGAAAGTTGTTACATGATACTCAGGTGACCTATAAGGCCCGTGGGACTTTCCCACGGACTTAGAAAATTGAGAAAGAAATAGACCACAATAAAAGGAGAGTTTGCTATGCCTATACTTTTAGAGTAAATCTATATTTTCACATTTTATTGAAATTTTAAATAACTGTTGAATTTGAGAATAGAACCTATGGAATATAAACAGCTACAGTTTAAGAGGGCTGGGTGGTAATTGTGGCCATTTTTAGACTATATATATCTACTTTAGAAGAAGAGCTCCATATGAAGATATACAAAAATGATCAAAATTTTAAAACTAAAATGTACGAAATTTTCCTTTGCCAAAAGACAGTTCAATGCTTAAGATATATCATGTATAAAAATGCAGTAATGTTGTGGTATCAGGTGCCTATAGGGAGTAAGCACCCCCTGCCCCCGTTGACCGAACCTCTACATATTGATCAGGTAGACGGAACATTCCGTAGTCAAATTCTCTATAAAAACAAAGGCCTGCATGGCAATTGGAATGAAACAAAATACGATTCAGTGATAGGTTTTATTTGGTATCAATTTCATTATATATAACGACCAAAGAATTTACGAAATATCGATTTGAAACAAGGTTGTTGAAATCCCTGTAAAATCAACTCACATGTCAGTAGCCTTATACCAGCCTACCTCGGTTTAAAAATTGATCATACTCGGAGCATGCTCTTGAGCATCGAGGTGAGTGATGTAAAACACCATTTGCTTGTGATAGCGGGATATTATTACATAAATAAGGAAAGTTGAGGATGAAAAGTAGAAATCATTTCATTTATCAATAGCAGTCCATTCATATTAAGTCTTCTCATTCTAAATCTTTTACATGAGAAGAAGGAAGCACTTGCAATGACCTTAAGTCGACATTTAGGTAAATCGACGGCGTATTATCAATTAACAATAATAACTTTCATAAACTTTCGTAAAAATTGACTTTTCAGTAGTCAACTTTCCTTACTTATGCAGCGGATACCAGCATCACCTGCATACGGGGTTTATATCTCTAAATTGAGCACGCTCTACGTGTGTACAATTTCAAAAACGGGGTAAATTATTGACAAACAAGTTGATGAAACAAAAATATCAGCAGTCTCGTTTAAATCCATCATTTGGTAAGTTTAATGGTCAATACAATAACTTTTTGTCAACAAGTACAATTTATCATTAAGTCAAATGCTGACAGACGTTTTTCATACAAATTCTTAGGCCATTATTTAGACAATGAATTGTCGACAAGGTTTTCCATTATTTCTCGATCATGACAAGGAGCACACGACTGGTGTGACCGGTCGGCAGGGGATACTCACTCCTCAATGGCACCTGTTTCCACCTCTTATGGTTTGGAGGTCCGTGTTTGCTCTAATCTTATTTGTATTGTTTGACGGACTTTTGAACTTGAAAACTGTTCGTTATCTCCACTCATTCGTCTGACTTGATATATCTAATTAAAGTTGAAAAAAAGCACAGAGTCTTGCACACCTGTTTCTTATTTGGATATTTTACTAGAAAGAGACGATTATGGTAACCTAACAACAAACCTTTACGATTCACATGATGAATTCAACTTTTCAATTGTCATATCCCCTTACTATTGTAGCAACATATCCTTATCATATGCATATGAGATTTATGTCTTTCAGTTGATTCGATAAGCGAGCATACTATACGTATGAACAACGTCTAAAACGAGGCAAGCTATTGACAAACAAGTTGATGAAACAAGAACATCATCAGTCGCATTTAAAGTCATAATTACGCAAGTTCTCTCGTTGATAGAATAACCTTGTCAACTAGAGTCTATCATTAATTCAAATGCTGACTGACATTTTTATATTAACGTTATGGCATTATTACAGATTTTCCCGTTTTCCCACGAACACGACAAAGAGTACACGGCTGGCTCACTCCTCAAAGGCACTTGATCCCGACTCTGATGTGAGAGGTCCGTGTTTGCTAGCTCTGCTCCAGATTTGTAATGTTTGATGGGATGTCAAGAGTTTGAACACTGTTCGTGATTATTTGCCAATCTACAGTACTTTAAGTCCATTTAGTCAAGGGTCATATCATAAACATGATTTTAAAATGCTACTCTTCATTAGAAGCTGTGTAGCATAGTAGTTAGCGTGTTCATGTATTAAAGATGAAAAAGCGTGTTATTCTCTAAGCAATGTGATACTCCGGATATTTATTGCTGATGTTCGATATTTTTTATTATAAGAATAATTTTTTTCGGAGATTTTTTTTTCTCAGAAATTTCAATAATGTAAACTTAACTTCTAATACTTAATTCACAAACTGAATATGTATTTTATACATCTGAAGCTATAGGCATT